TGGAATTGGTTTCAAGCTCAGGACAGAGCGAATCCAATTCAAAGCAAAGTTGTGAAATGTAAGAATTTGCCCCACACCCAACAAGATGTTATTGAGCACAGACAAATGCAAACTGCATATACACAAAATGCACACCCACCAGCAAGGCAGTGGTAGCCTCATCAGGAAAAGTTGAAAGGATTACATGTGGCAAATAAGAGGAAAATAATGTTCTGTGATATATAAATAAAAGTACAAACTGGAGATACTGAACTAATTAATTCTGTTTGGCACTAGTGCAGAATCAGTGCCATTGCTGTGCAACTTTTTTGGGAAATGCCCCATCCCTGGAAGTGTTCAAGGTCAGGCTGGATGGGGCCTTGAGTCTCATGATGTGGTGGAAGGCATCCCTGCCCATGGCAGGGGACTGGAACTAGGTGATCCTTATGGTCCCTTGCAACGCAAACTATTCTATGATTCTATGAAATCTTCAGTCAACAGAGAGGACCAAGGAAAAGACAAAAATGCCAAGAGTTTTTAAACCAGCTTTTTTTAATCAGAGTTTTTAAATATAGCTTTGTAAAAGACTGCTGTCCAATCTGTTGGGATTCTAGGAGCCACAGTCCCATATTTTCATGTGACTGAGACTCGTATCCTCCTCCTACCACTACACCAGTGCTCCAGCCCAAGTTCTTAAGACTATTCTCATATGCTAGCAGTGTTTAATTATCACTGCTTTCCTTCATAATTTTGCATGTTCTGATTGTAAAACAAAATCTAATAGCTCATTAAATATGAGCTATTTTTAATTTGTGTCTTCTGGTCTTTAATTACCAAAACTGTAAATGGTTTTAATTCTGCTGCTCCATTCATGAGGGACTGAAACTCAGCAAGTCTGGCAGTAAAAATAGTTTCTCCTCCTGAATGGGGTTGGGAGGGAAGGAAATGATTTTTTTTCTTTAAATGGCTTAATGTCAGGGGAAATCCTAATGTTCTCAGCCAAGTTACCCTGCAGCCAGAACAGCACTGCCAGTTCAAACTCTTCAAAGGCAGTTCAACAAAAACTGCTTCTTATGAGAGGCTGCCAGCTCTCCTGATCCAAGTCTGCTTCAGTGGATGCCAAGGTGTTTCATTTATGTTGAGTGAAAACACTCTGTGGTTCTCCTCTGAAAAGAAATTATATAAAACCGGCAGTAGCCCTTTCCAAAGATCAGCTGCCTGTGTGCAGTTTGACTGATTTATCTATGCTCTCCAGTGGTTCAAATACACTTTATTGCTCCTTAGTTCTGTGTGCCCTGCAAGTACAGCTCTGACATAGAGGGCTAACATTGTGTCTTCTTGTCTGATACAGAACTGTTCATTAAATCTAGGTCTAAGTCTATCCAGGGTCACCTGTGTAAACCAAAAGAAATTCAGTGGGAATGTGATTGTCAGTGAAAGCAGAAATGGTGCTCTTATAACATTTATCTGGCACATTACTCACTTAAAACAAAAACCATATTACAACTTACAATACATTAAGAATTAATGAAAGCGAAACAAGTTGGCTGCATCAGCATATCTGCATGATGTGCTTACACTTTGCGGAAGGCTGCAACTTATATTACTAAATTGTGAAGAGGAGAGCAGCTTTGTAAGTAAGATTCTGCAGCAAAAGTATGTAAGATAATAAAATCACGTCCACTTAGAGTAACATTCTTTATGTATTATTTCACTTGGCATAAGACACTGTCAGTAACTCTTTAGATAATTGGAGGGTCACCTTTTACTAAGAATCAAAAAGCATCAAGAAAAAAAAAACAGGAGGGAAAAAACACTACCTAGTTAGTCAGTGTTTCAGAGCACCTAAGTGTTTCTCCTCCATTCCAAACTACATCTTACGAGACTAGTGGCTTTGCTT